TTTGACTTAATAGGCAATTGAAAAGTAAAGTCGCTTTTCGACGAACCAAAACCAATTTCTACAAATCCCTCATCATTCCTGTCCTCCTAAATGGGGCAGAGGAAAGGACAATGAAACATCTGTAGAATTAACGTTAAGTGTTTTCGAAGGAAAGATTTTGCCTAAAAGTTATGGTCTTCTGCGCGCTGGTAACGACGAATACCGCAACCGTTGGGCGGATGAGCTATAATAGACAGAAGGCGATCAGCGAAACAAGCGGCAGAAGCTACGCTGGTTAGGTCCGTTGGGTCACAAGTCTTTAGTTTCGAAAGACTTCGAAGTAGTGTTTTTTGGTGAATCAGAAGAAAGGAAGTATTATCAATGACTCCATTATAAACACGTTGGGGTGATTACGCCAACCATTAAAAAAGCATGAAAAATATATTTCAATATACAATAAGCAGCTCTTGTGACAGTTTTGCTTTCAAGTAAAAATAGCGATTTTGGTGTATTTTTTTTATTGATGTTGGAATCAAAAGAGCCATAATAATTGTTTTTGCGGCCATACTTTTAATTTTTTGTTACAAAAGAAAAAAAAAGGCTTCAATACGTTCGTATATGTCTTTGATGAGAGCGTGCTGGGATTCGATACAATTTTGAGGTATCTGCAATCCTGACCAATCAATATTCATTCAAAATTAGGACACAACTTAGAGTATTTAATTACAAACGAACTTAACTAAATCTCCTTCGGAATTTTTCTTACTACTTAAATGATGAAAAATACGGTGTTGCATTGAAGTAAAATCCCAAAAAGTGCGAAGATTTTGAATTTTTGGAAATTTTTTAAGTTTTTCTTATAGCGAGAGCTGGAAACTATATACTCTCTATACTTGCCATTGCTTACACAGCGATAAGTAGCAGCAATAATACACCAGAAGTTGTAGCTGATGTCCCCAGCGTACAAAAGATTATCGTATATCTATAAAAACATTAAAATTTCCATAAAAATATATTTAAAGTCATTTCAGCCACAACACGCCTTGGTACCTACCAGCTAGCTTAGCTATTCACAGAGAATTATCCTTTCGTAGTCAAGTTGAAGCAACTATTGCGCACCCGTATTTAGAAGATGAAACAGCGAAATGCATTTTTTGAATAAACAGTGTTTACATTAAAAGCCAGCACAGGACGACCATGCTGATCCGACAAGAACAGTACCTAAAAGCTCGGTTGGTGTACTGCAGCAGCTTTATCTAATGCTACGTTACGTGTCAGCGCGTATCACCGATGAACCGACCAACCGACTGTGGCTCTTCTTAAGTGGTTTCAGTGGTTTCGCTTACAGCTATACAACAAGAACACATCTGTTACCTCGCTGCGTCTCACTGAAACTCACCTCAATTTACCTTTCTTGTTCTTTGGAATTATAAATGTCACTGTCATGACAACAAACACTCGCTGCTCGCTGCTAGCTGCTGGATGGCATTGCAACTGCGCATCCGAGCGTTGATTTGATGGGGTCGTGCAAGTAACTCTGGTTTTTGCTGTTGTTGTTGTTGTTGTTGTTGTTGTTGTTGTTGTTGTTGTTGTTATTGATGATGCAGTAGAGTATCTAGCTACTACTTATTGCATGCAGAGTGGCTGTTGTGCTGTTGCCGCCTTAATGGCGTTAAGCTGCTTAGGAATTCAATTATTTTCGTTACAGAAAATTGACTTGACGTCAGCGACAGAGCTGGATACAGTTACATGGTAAGACGTGGCTAAAGTAATGAACTTAAATAACCTTACAAAGCTGAAGAATGAGGTGGCATTTCGAAGAAAAAGCCAATGTGAGGATATACATATATGTTTCTTATCTCGTTCCCTCTATATCTGTATGTATATATATGTATATGTTAGCTCTTTTTACAGTTGTTTGATTTGTTAAAGGCACCACACCATGCGTACAGTGCCTTGACAATACAACAAAATTATTTGCCAAGAAACCTAGCACTAATTACTACTGATAAGCCAATGTGGCAAGGAAGAACGATTGTTCGGTTGCCGGGTTGTAGACAGTGATTATGTATGTACCCAAAAAAGGGTGTGTGCAAAGCTTTGTTTTATTGTTACCCTTGTATCCTCCACCCTCGTGAACCCTTTCGCAGGATGCGGTAGGCAGCCCAAGTACAGCCATGGTGGTTTTCCTCTTAAAAAGTGCTTTATGGTAAGGTCTGTTCATCAGAAATAATGCCATCGAGCTTGCTATGCTAATAAATAAAAAATATTCAATCACAACATATCTTACATTTGAGCTCTACTTCTGTGAGCCTTTCTTTCACAATGTTACCTAATGTGGTTGTTCACCAAGGGGAACCACTGAATCAAATCATGCTGATCGAGTTCAGTAGGGAAATGAAATGGAGACACACCATCTCTTTGTCAACTTTGTAGTAGCCTTCCCCAGCACGAAAATGACCTACCTCTTTGGCAATATCTGAATTCGGAGTCCTCACAAAAGTTATGCGGCAATGTAAGCTGACGTTAAGCAATACCAAAAGCGTCATTAAGATCAGGAAGAATTTTCTGAGCCGTTTGATACCATCTCAAGACACAATAAATAAGCAAGGCTATATTGGTGTGGTAGTAAAGGAAGAAAAAGGAAATATTTCTTCGTTGGAAGTTGGAAACGGCGAATACCAAAACCAGTGGAACGACATTGACATAGATCAGCGAACCAAATCAAGGGACAGGGTAGGTCATGTGGCCCGGCTTAGAAAGAAAACTCCAGCTCTGAAGATCTCTCCGCTGGTGGAAGCAGAGGAAGAGGAAGATCTCCACCTCATAGAAAAGACCAGGAAGAGCAGCAGATTAGAGGTTTTCCTCTTCCTCTGCTTCCACCAGCGGGTACTCCATCGAATACTTTCAAAGCTGGAATACTTTCATCCATTCGGACGACACGACCTAGCCAGCGCAGCCGCTGTCTCTTCATTCGCGAAACTATCTCAATGTCGTCATATAGCTCATACAGCTCATCGTTGAAACGTCGGCGATATTCGCCGTTGCCAATGCACAACGGACCACAAATCGTTCGCAAACCTTTTCTCTCGAAGACTCCTAGAGCCGACTTATCACGGCGTGGTTTTTGAGGCCAATAATGTTGATATCATCGGTGTACGCCAGCAGCTGTACACTCTTGTAAAGGGTTTTTTAAGAGCTAAAGGAAAACTAACAAAATGGTTCATCCACTTAGTCCATTTTTGGCATACTCTTCTCAACATTTCGCCCGGTATTTCACGAATAAATGCTTCAATGTCGTCTTCCAATGCGTCAATGGAAGCGTTCTTATCTGTATAGACATTAGAAATAACATAGCCCCAGCGAAAACAATCTAAAGACCCTAAATTGTACGATCTGGTACCGAAAGTGAAATAAAATGTACATCAAACTCGCCTCTCAATAAGTCCATTGTTACGCGTTCTGTGTGACATGTGGCACCGTCTTGTTGAAACCACATGTCATGCAAGTCGAGCTCTTGCATTTTGATATCATCGCACGTTAGCGCTCATCATTCACAGTTACGATTCGAATCATCTTTGAAGAAGTACGGTCCAGTGATGCCACCAGCCCATAAACCGCACCAAGCTGCGACTTTTTCTGGATGTGTTGGTAGCTCTTGCAATGCTTCTGGCTGATCCTCATTCCAAAATCGACATTTCTGTATATTAAAGCACCCTTTAGGCCAAAAATGAGCTTTAATGCGCGTACGAAAGAAGCGCGTGATGAACTTTCTTAGCAAATCACGCATTTTGATAATAAAATTCAATCATTTGCAAGCGTTGTTCGTTTGTAGGACCACTCATGGTAAAATTATAGACCAAACCGAAGATGTTTGACAGTGATTCAAAACACGAAACGTGCGCCAACTATTTAAACCATTGCTGTCAAAGAGATAATATCTAAAAAATCGCTCTTTAAATGAATCGAGGGTAAAATTGTTCAGCTTACCAAAATTTTACTCAAAAAAGAAGCACACAGATAGCAAGAAATTAAAAATATACACAATATTATGATGCTAAGAAGACCGACACATGAGAAAATAATCTAAACCTGCCTTAAACAGCACGAAAAAGAATTGGTACCATCTTGTATGATGCACGCTCGTAAATGAAACGAGGTGAAATAAGAGTATTATTTTTTGTGTGAATTCAAAAGGTAATGACGGCTGAAAATTTCCTGCCGCAGAGCAACCTTGCAGGGATAAATACTAGTTATTAACCATAAACCAACTACATTTTTACAACAACTAGTTCATCCTCCTTCTACTTTCGATGTAAGCAACTGTCATTTTTCGCACGGCAATGTCCTACGAAGTGTCAATTTTTAGCACATGCAAAAGCTTCATTTTAGTTAAATACCAGTTTATCTATATCAGCTAAATAACTGGTTCGTTATTACCAGTTGAAAACCAGTATACCTCAGTACAGTCTGCATCGTACTAGTCCAGTTCGATTACTTCCGGTGTTCAGGTAGATGATTAGATATCCACTTATTTGAAAAAACGCACATATGGTTCAATTTCCTAATTTTTGGGACATTTTTCATTTTTCCGTAGTGGATCAGATATCGATATATGTTCTTGAAATTTAATTTGGGGCTGATCATAATTTTTTTTTAAATCAAAAAAAAAAAAAAAAAAAAAAAAAACAACAATAGTTTTTGATGGTTATTGTAGCGGCAACTCTAATAAAGTGTAACTGGTAAAAATTATATACCATATACTAAATTATTTGCAAACTGGTCCAGATTTTACCGAAAAATACTAAATTAATTCTGGCTTACCACAAACTTTTATGATTTTGCCAACAAAATACCAGTATTTAACTAGATTTTTTGCACACTGTCTACCCATTTCCTGCATGGTACATACTTAAGCTGATGGACGAAAAAAAGACGAAATATTTCCAAAACTATACCAAAATACTCACTTACTCCCTTTTCAAGTCAAGAATATGCCCGTTGTTTTGGTATATGCATTTATTGTTTATTTATGTATCTCAATCTCTTTCATATATTGTACAATGACGCCTTCCGTTCAATACAATAAGCATCATCATCAGTTTACTATTTGCAATTTGTTTGTAGTATTTAGTAATTATTATTATCATTTACACTCACATCCAATGCGTTCATTTATCAATCATATATGTATATTAAAATTAGATTAACCACAGGAGCTTCCATTTGTTCCTTTCATTAATTATTTAATTAGATTATATTATTTTTTAACTAATATAAATACATAACTAACATAATCCGATAATTCGACGTGGGCCGAAAACCCGCACCCCAAACTCATCGCTTCCCGTCGTCGTCCCTACACCACAATTCACTTTGCTTTTTTTTGCTGTTTGTATGTAAATAATAATAACTCGTTATATACACCTTAATTATTTATACATTTTAGATTCCAAAGTTATGTAGTTTTTACAATAAGTTTTTTATTGCCAATATGTTTGCTATTTTCTTTAAACCTGCAAATTTCAACGTATATTTAATATGATTTTCAAATTTACACATTTTTTGTTTGGTTTTTTCATCATCCCTGTGATATCGAATTGATAGAATACACAACAACACATAAGCCAACACATACATATGTATATATGTACTCACATAGACTTGATGAATCGGGTTTGAATAAATAAATTTTATAATTGCAGTTAATTAATTAATTTTTTGTTCATAAATATATACATACAAACATGTGTTTTATACATTTTTTTAGCTTTTATTTACAAGCGGCTAAATTACATACTTCATGCAGTGTATGTATGTAAATAAGTATGTACTTAATTATTTCTTTTCGGTAATTTTTTCTGTTAATTTTTATTGTTTTTATTACTTCATGAAGCTATTTTAATTTTATTTATTATATTCCTGTTTTGTATGGTACTGGTTATTGATACTTTGTTGCATTTTCAAGTCCTTTTTGTGTTATATCCTATACATATTCATACATGTATCTATATACATATGGTATTTACCTTTACAAAAATAGCATAATGTTCTCTTTTTCAATAAACAAGGAAATATTTTTTTTTTTTTCAAAACATTTGGTTCCTGCTGCAGTTTTGCTTTTTATTCATAATACATTTTTATGTCTCTTACTTTTTATTGATTACATCATCTCATTGTTCCTTTGCTGCTTCCTTGTGTCAAGGCTGCATGCATAATGCACTCATTTGGGTTCTATGATGCCAAGCTTGGCAAGATTGCCCAGTGTTGTTGGGTCTCCCGGTTGTAGTCTTAAGGCTTCTTTGTAACTGTTGGCCGCATGTTTGGTACGTCCTTGTAAATGTAAAATGGCTCCCAAGTTGGTGTGTGCGTGAGCGTCATTAGGACGCATCGCCACTGCCTGTGGGGGAATGTGTAAGGAAGGAGTTGAAAATTTTTATTTATCATTTTATTGGATTCTATTTTATATTTATTTCTTTAACATTATTTTATTTTATTTTTCTTTATTAAACTTTTTTTAAATTTTAAATTTAATTTTTTCATCTAATTTTATTTTGTATTTGTTTTTAATTATAATCATATATTGACTTTAATCTCACCTTATTTTATTATATTTTATTATATTTCAAGTAAAATCACATAACTTTTATATTATTTAATTTTAATTAATTTAATTTTTTATATTTTTTATTATATTTTCTTTATTTTGTTTTATATAAATTATATTATTTGATTTTGTCTAAATTTAATTTAATTTATTGTATTTGTTTAACTTAATTTTAATTTCATTTTGTTTAATTTATTTCAATTATTTATTATTTTTACTAAATTACTTCCTAAAATACTTTTTACTGTTTGCTTTGTGTCTCACCTTGCGGTACCAACTTTCGGCGTCCGTTTTCCGCTCAGACAGACGTAAGGCAGTTGCGGCGGCCACCACCAGCGCGTAATCGTTAGGGGCAAGATTTGAGGCGCTTAGGCGATAGAAGAGCGCTTCTTCGTTGCGTGACTGTGAGGTAAGAAACTCAGCTAAATAACATTCAGTTGAAGACGTGCGATGAGCGCCGAGCAAGACAGTGGAGTGAACGAAAGGAAAGAAAAAATTTAGTTTTAATTAAAAGTTTAAGTGCAAGCGCAAGTGCTGTCGAAGAAAGTATAGTTTCATGCGACATACGAAATAAGTAAGTAAATAAAGTAAATAAATAAGTACATAATAATTCTCACCATAATAGTGATGCACACTAGACTGGTTTGGCGCCAACTGTAGTGCACGCTTAAACCACATCTCTGCCTCCGTCGCCCGACTGCTCTGTAAGCAATAGTAGAAGTTTTAGTTTACGAAAATGTTGAAGAAGTTCGATCGGAATTCATTGCTTTTCAAATGCAAACTTTTATGATACTCACATTTCTCGCCAGCGTTATGCCATAAGACAAATGCGCCGCCACCTGATTCGGTTGCAGTTGCAGCGCAGCATAGTGATACCGTTCCGCTTCGCTCCACTGCTGCAAGCGGCCTAAAACGTCACCTAAGCGATTATAAAGCACATCACGCTGATAATACGTCGTTGGCAAGGCATGCAGCGCTTCACGATAAACAGCCAACGCTCGCTGCAGCTTTCCTTGTTCGGCGTATAAAGCGCCTAATTGCAGGTACGCTGAGATACGTGCGTTGTCATGTGTGATACGATCTCGTACGCCTTCCCCATTCAGTTGTGTGCCTTCTTTTAGTATTTGGGCCGCCTCACGACACTTGCCCAGTGCAATGAGCGAGGCACCCAAGTTAAGGAAAGCCACTACGGTTAGTAGGAAAAATGTTAATGAAACAGGGAGAAAAATTCAACAAACATTTTTAAATTATATGATGCAAAACCTTTTCAAATATTTCACGAAAATTTACCTGCTAAATTTGGTCGAAACTGTATCGCCAATCTGAAGCACTCCACTGCAGCCTTATGGTTTTGTTGGTTTTGATAGAGAATTCCCCTAAAAGTAAAAATTATATGAATGTAATGTGTTAGAACACATTAGTTGAGGAAAAAGTACTACGAGATCTGTACATACAAATAAATTTTTTATAAATATATTTGACAAACATAAATAGAAGATAATAAGAAATAGGGTGAGATCAAATCATCTCATCATTATACTATTCGGGTATATCATTCCTCATACAGGGTGAGCAAATAAGGTATCTTCGGCACAGAAGTCTAAAAGTGCATCCTTTATTATAACCAGGTTGTGAGAGATGAACGACATGCAAACAGTGTTCAAGCCGGCGTACTCTTAAAGGATCAAATATTTAACTGGGCAATTTACTTGTCGCTTGTTGAGCAGCTACTCTCTGAGAGCACTCTCAACAAATCGATGTAAGGTTACCGTAGAACAGCATTTGAAGTTAACATCTTTGCGATCTAACGCTGCGTGCGCTATGTATGAGAGGTGCTGAGAATTGAGGCCATTCTAACCTCGTTTAAGGCAACAGGCAACATTAATTTAAGTGCCCCAAGGGAACAACACCTTGCAGCTAGGTTGCTCCAAATACTTCTCACCTGAGCTGGCATCGAAACCAACCCTGCTCCAACGGATTATTTCTACTGTGTGTGCCATAAAAGATTCAAGCACTCCTCCACCTCGGTTGGATGCAACCAATGCAGTGGTTTCAATCATCTTAAGTTCTGCTCAGGCCTTAAGACCCATAAGGAGTAAAGCTGAAGTTATGTGGCCCCATGCTGCCAACGCCAAAGTAGGCCCCCAGCCTCCTTGGCCCGCTATGGGTTTCACGAAGCTCCCCGCAGCATGACTCCCATCAATCGGCCATATGGGTATTTTAAATTGGCGCCAAACTGTCTATGCCACTAAAAAGAAAAAAGTGTACAAATTCCGAGTCGAATGGAGTTTTACGTAAGCAAATAACGCAAACCATGAAACTATGAGCTGTAAGGAGATACAACGAGCCATCGTCTACACCAGCTGGTCATGTATATTAAATCACCTTAGCTTTGAAAAGGGACGATGTCGTACTAGCTAATGGTGGGCTAGTAAGACGAAAAGCTCCATTTCATAAGAGCTATCAGCTGCAGGAAAAGTTAGACTTGCTTCAAGCCTCCATTTATCGTCGATTGAAGAAAAAGAAACAAACTAAATCGACTGACAGAAATATGCTATTTTGAATGACTCAAGCAAGAGAAATTGAAAAGAGCTTCGAAACAGATCAAAGAAAAAAGTGAAAAATGCAGAGTACAAACAAACAAACTTTGAGAAAGAAAAAACTTTCCAAAAATTCCTGAAAAAGTTAATACGTGAAATAAGCGAATGGGCCTTGAGCAATCGACTTGCTACAATGTACACGTGGAATTAGGGAAACCTACAAATCAGGTTAATTAAATCAACAACAGCGCTAAAGAACAAAATCAAGAACGCTAAACAACCAATCTGCAATTACCGTGCAAATTAGTGCAGTCAAGCAACAATTGTTTGAAATTCGAATCATTGAAGAAAAATTTTGCCCGGCAACCAACCCACCAAAGAGCCAACTCAGGTTTCACGTGCATATCTCTTTTTGTTCTGTTGACTACTTCAATATACACTCGTAGATATGTACAGGCGGATATATATGAAATTCCATGTATTTCGTCTAAATACCACCAAACACTTTTCAAGTGTGGCCACAAAGCAATGAGTTGTGGCTGGAAAAAAATAGAGCAAAATCAATGCTGAAAAGTACTAAATAAAAGGGAAAAGATGCCAAAGTGAAAAGTTCTCTACTGGTAGCGCCGCGCACGGTACGACAGCAAAGCCATGCTGATTGCTGTTGAGCACTGCTAGAGCTCGATGAATTTGGCTGTACTTTTACTACTTCACTCTGAGTATTTGCAAGGATGTTTTAATCGCCGAGGCGCTGTTGCAAGGTTGCAAGTACAACGCGCGCTGGCTTTAATATGACGCTGCATGTACCGTGGTGTTGGAGAAATCTCAAGCAGATTTCCATTTCAGTGAGCTCAGAAGCAGCGCCCGGGGAGTAGGAAAACGACGTTTTCAATTTGTATGTATGTATGTGAATGTAAATAGTATCAGTGGCGTGAGGATGAAATACATGAAAAAATAACGCACGCAAAAGTTCTTGGAAGAGGATAAGTGGAAATGGTGAAAAATATACAAATAAATACCTATAAACAAAGCATCAATTTACAAGCACGTGAAAAGTGAAGAATTAGAGGAGCTGAGGAGTTGAAAGGGACGCTAGTTCCAAGTGCGAAGCGGATTAAGCCAACCAAAGTCAGACTCGTTTTTACTTCTTTGCACTTGTTGTTCCTGCTTTTTCGTTAGCAATGTTCTTGGCAGATTCAACAGCATATCAAGAAAAAGTGAGAAAGAGGAGTGAGAAGGAGGATTGAGAGAGTTTTTTCTCGACTTTTGCACATGCAATTTTCTCAAATTGTTTGAGTTGAAGAAACAGAAATGCATCAGCAAAAGTTAAAGAAAAAAAAAATAATAAAGAAAATAAAACAGCAACTATGTTGCTAAATTTGTTGCAAACGAGCAAGTAGAAGAAGAAGAAGAAAAGGAAGAATAACGATCAGAAGAAGAAGTATGAGGTTCTTTACTTCATTCTTTCTACTTTTATCTCATTTGTTGTTTGAGTTGTGTAAGTTTTGCCGTTCACTTACAACTTCCCTTTCCGTTCTATGCCACTCCTCGCACGTCTTGTTGTTGGCCGTAGCTAAATATTACTTACTTATTTTATTTGTGTTGTGTACGCAATAGAGACTGCACAAAGGTAGGTTTATCGATAAATGAGCAATCGCTGATATATTCGTATTTGCTTCCGAAACGATTTCATCCACTAAACATTGCTAGGCTTGACGAGGAGGCCACGAGTGAATGCGAATGCAATAAATGCTTAGTTCAGCTTAACATAGCTTGGCTCAGCTCACTTTGGTTAGAAGAAAGCTTTTCTATAACCGGTTTATTGGCACCGGAGACTAAGACTAAGATTCAAAAACTTAAATTCACCATATTTCATTTTCTCGGATGCTCGACCAAAGCTAGTTTTTCTTTTCAAACTTTGAAAAATTTTGAATTTTCCAACTTCATCGGTATTTGTTTAGTTCATATAGAAGAGACACTCATACAAATTAAAACAGAATGTTTGGTTCGATTGTTTCAGATGCATCCTATGTACTGGAACCGTTTCCTAAGTTCAGATGACGGAAGCTGCAGAAAAGTCATCCCAAAATTGGAAAATTTCAATATTTTTGTATACTAAAAATTGTTCTTTGACGGTTAAGTATAATAAATTATTGTCTGAAAATTTCAATTACCGCAATAATTCCCTTCCCTTTCAAAAAATTTGCCGAAAGAATGGTTCTGTTTTTGGATCTAAGTGAAATACATAGATAGGATAGACCCACCAAATTTATAGCGATCGGGTCAGAATGACGAGTTGCCCGTTTGCTGTCTATTTGTATGCAAACTAGTGCTGCCGTTTCTAAAATATTTTAACAAACTTGAGGAAAGGATTTATTTTTGCGGTATTTCCATCAATCTTTTTTCGGAACAGGCTGGATCAGAAGGCTACAACATATAGTTCCCCTACAACCGATATTTCAAGATAATTATTTTGCTTCATAAGCACTTCAATAAAGCAATTAAGAACATAAAACTAAGTATTTTAAACTCATGTGATGAGTTGCACATTAATACAGAAAATCAACCACAACATAAACATAAATAGTTCCCATGGGTAAGATCAACCTTTTAAATCTAGGACCATGCAATCGAACTACCAGTGGTCCATTCTCTAATTAGCTGGGTTTGTAAACTAAGCATGTTCAAGAAGTTGTCGATATGGTTGCTCAGATCCTAAAGGTGATTTTCAACTGCCAGAGCTTACTTCTGCTCAGAATAGTATAAAGTCATAATTGGATGGCATTCTCCTGCAACTCATACAAAATTCTCTGCATGCTTGTCTAAGGGCTTAGTACAGGTCAAGTTCTGTTTAAATTTAACGCGACCTTCTTCAGGGTGGAATTGTTTGCGGGACGAGGTATGCCAATGAGCGTTTTATACTGAAGGCAAAAGAAAATTTTAAGTTAAATTCGGTCTATCAAACAAATGATCGAACTCAAATCCATCTAAACTCTATACAAAATTCATGAAAATTTTTTCATTATTCTAGATTTCATTTCATTATGCATTTTATTGCAATAAGTTCAAAACAATGAAATTTTTTCCAATTCTAATATTAAACTGGCGTGTAGAGCGGACCATTAGAAAGCGGAACCCAATAAAGTTGTCCCAACAGAGTATGAGCTAATCGAGATATGTAACGTTTTGAAGGTAAGAATAAGATAAACCGAGTGGTAGAGGAAATTGTCAATTTCATTAAAAGCGACCTTGATGACGTCATAGTCGGAGATGTAAGTTTTCGCCAGAACTTCTGGAGATGAGCACTGCTGGACTCTGAGCGCCTCCAAGCCGTGTGGTGAAAGCATTCGCATACGATTGTCCTCAATATATTCAGCTAATAATATTCGAAAAATAATCTAACAACTGTTACATCTCTAAGATCGAAATACATACATAACTACATAATATGTACTGCTTTGTTTATTGGCGAAGTCAATAAAAACTGAGTAAAATGCTACAGCAAAAACAACAAACCATTCAACAAACTAAACGCAAAAGCTCAACAAATTCTGCTCAATACGTTTGCTTCTCACACATTTTAAGCGTTTAATACTTTTTTGTTAGATTCCAGTATTATCCCAGTATTTTTTCCATAGATTTTGGTATTCAGCAAAAATACGATATATTTCTGGGCGGTGAAGAGTTCGATAGAGCAGCAGTGGCCAGAAGTGGTAAGGTTGCAGAAAAATCCATTGAAAAGAAATCAAATTATTCAGTTCAGTGATTATCGGTTTTGTTGTTTGTTCGAACGTGAATGCCTTTGAAACAACAGTAGCAACAACACCAATAGTACA